AATGGAAGAAATTATGAAATAAAAGAGTGGAACAGAAAATTTCAAAGGACAACTTAAGAAGACAAGGTAGAGCATTATCATGAAATGTGCAAAGACCTGGAGTTTAAAAGCCAAAAAGGAAAAAACATGCTCAGCTTAAAGAACTTGAGAAAAAAAATTCAAGACTTGAGTTAAAATACTGAAGGATTCTATGGACAATGTGTTAGGCCAAGTTGAATAGAGAAAGAAATTCAATGGCACTCATATGTGTTAGAAAGAGCTTTTATATCGAGAAGTAATTACATATCAAGAAAACATCCCAGCCCAGTCCAACTCAAGTCCATAAGTTGGATCCTAGTCCGTACTTCCCTCTTCAGACTCATGCAGCCATAAGCAATGAGGCAGAATGCAGGAAGATCAGCACGGTGGTGCAAAGTCACGTGGATCCAAGGTTGGTGGAAACATGGAAGGTCTCCAGCAGCTCTCAGCGTCAGCAAGCAGTAAGGTGAGTGGGGAGAGAGCAGTTCCCAGTGTCTCACACTCTTATACCATCAAAAGGAGTCAGCAGGTTGATTGACAGGTTTTATTCCACCTCTACATCTTCAAGTTGACATAAATTTACCAACTACTGCAAGTAAAGTATTGAAAGATGCAAGAAGCATCAAAAGAAGATGAAAGGAATACAGAGTCACTTACACAAAGAATCGGTTGACATTTAATCATTTCAAGAACCACCCCACTGGTATTGAAGAAAGAACTAAAAGCAGACTGAAGGTATTAAAAAGAATCAAGGATCCAGAAACTGATAGAATAACAGTTGAAATGTTTCAATAAGCTGATGAAGCACTGGAATCACTAGTCTATGCCAAGAAATCTAGCCAATTGATTAAAGATCAATTTTCATATTTGTGCCATTCCAAAGAAAGGTGACCCCAAAGAATGGTGAAGTGATCAAGCAGTATCATAAACATCACATACAAGTAAAATTGTGCTGGAGACAATTCAAAAATGGTTGCAGCAGTACATCAACAAGTAACAGCCAGAAATTCAAGCCAGATTCAGAAGTAGATGTGCAATAAGGGAGATCATTGCTGACATCAGGTAGATTTAGCTGAAAGAATACCAGAAAAATGTTTGCTTGTGTTTTATTGGCTATGCAAAGGCATCTGTCTGCATGGATCATAACAAATTATGAATAACATTGTGAAGAATGGGAATACCAGATCGCTTAATTGTGCTCACGCAGAACCTGCACACAGACCAAGAGGCAGTTGCTCAAGCAGAATACTGCATGGCTTAAAATCAGAAAAGGGGTAAGTCAGCGTTGTATCCTTTCATCATACTTACACTACCTAAATGCTGGGCAGAGAAGCAGAGAAGCTGGACTACAGAAAGAAGAACTTGGCATCTGGATTGAAGGCAGGTTTATTAACAACCTAAAATATACAGATAACACAACCTTGCCTGCAGAAATTGAGGACTTGAAGCAATTACTGATGAAGATCAGAGACTTCAGTATAGATTGCAATTCAATGCAAAGAAAATCAAAATCACCATAACTGGACCAGTGTGGGATACAGAAAGGTTTCTCCCCAGGTTGTCACCTGCTTGCTAGCGTATTGTGAGGTATTCTCCCTGAGGGCATTCAGCCCACCATAGGTGGGGCTCATACCCTGCTGATAAGGATAGTGGATTGTTTCCTTGAAGAGAAGCCCAAAGACAAGGTCTTGCCAATTCAAGGACGACCAAGGTTAGGCTGCCATCTTGAATCTAGGATCTGCCCATCTTATCACATGTGTACCCCTAGTCCCTCCCATTCCTATTGAGAGTACATCCCAAGATCGTCCCCTTCCCATGTTTGTACTGCTTGTACAGGAAGGCACAACCCCTTCCTGCTACATGCTTGGTACCTGTAATCAGGGGGGCTTGCACCCCCCCTAAGGATATATAAGCCTTGGTTAGAAATATACAACCTCTCTCCCCTCCTCCAGCTCTCTGTGCAGACCTGGCTGCTGAGATCATGGCGGTCCAGGAGGTGAGCATGCTACCATAAAATGTGTCTGACTCCTTTATCATCTCTCCTACTTTTCCTATCTTCTATGACTTTACTATAATCTTTATATATTAACACCATACAGTTGAGCCTACGGACCCCACTAGATTGTTAGAGGCTGGTTTACTCTAACAGACCAGTAGATAGCAGCATGATAAATGGAGGAAAGACTGGCTTTGTCAAGGATTTCATTTTAGTTGGATCCACAGCCAGCACTCAAGGAAGCAGTAGTCAAGAAATCAAAAGCGATGCCCTGCATTGCATAAATCTGCTACAACAACCTTGTTAAAGTGTTGAGGAATAAAGATGTCTTTCTGAGGATTGGTGTGCCTGACCCAAGGGGTAATGTTTTCAGTCTTCTCCAGTGCACGTGAAAACTGAACACTGAATAAACGACAGCAGAAGAATTGATGCATTTGAAATATGGTGTTGGCAAAAAAATATTAAAAACATCATGAACTGCTGGAAGAACAAACAAGTCTGTCTTGAAAGAAGTACAGCCAGGCTCTTCTTTAAAAGGGAAGATGACAAGAATTCCGCCTAACAGCCCCCCAATAAAGTGATTTTTACAAAAAGTTCATAGACATTTCATGAAGGATACAGTACAGGTTTTAAGACCTGCTCTGTGATAGCAATGATGGCAGAATAACTCCCCCTCAGGAGAAGAACACCAGGAGAGTAGGTGAAGGGACAGAATGGGTGGTGTAAGACAAATGGTAGAGAGACAAGAATGATGTAATTTTTCTAACTCATATGTCTTGCCAATATACCCTGCTGAGTTTTCCATTACCTCCATGGAAGCCTTTGATGCAATTCTATAGTAGGAGGTGCTATGCTATGAAGGAAATAGACCCGAACTTGGAATCCAAAGACTAGAGGGTCAACTCTTAGCTTTGTGACTCAACAAAGGTGGGGCCTTTAGCAAGCTGCAATGTTTCCAAGACTTAGTTTCTCAGTGGAACTTTGTAGAACTGTGATTAAAGAAGACAATATACATGAAAGGGCAGCACAAGGTCTGGCACTTAGTAAGTGAAAATGAATGTTGCTAGTTGCCATGAAATCACTTCTGATTTACTGTGGGCCTGTGAGCGCCGAGCAGAATTACTCCACAAGTCTACAAGGCTGTGGCTTTTAGGGTGTGGATTGCCAGGCCTGTCTTCCATGAAAAGCAGGCAACCTCTGCAGGCTTATTACCACCAATGTTTTCCTCTTCTCTGACCTGAGGGGGCATGAAAACCTACCTATCTCTTGAGAAAACTCACTAGAGTCTTGGGTACTTTTAGCAAATATTCATTGCAGCAGTGATAACGAAGTGACTATTCTTGACAGCAGACTCAGTAGAAAAGTTTGAGGAACGAAAATGAAGGTAGAAAAGGTCTGACAGTTTCACAAAGAGGAAGAAGAAGTACAGTAAGAGGCACCAGTTTATAAAGCTCAGCCCAGCTATTTCTGGGCTTTTTAGAAAAGAGAGAGGCCAAGAGCTTAAATCAGCTGCTTGATGCCCCTTGGGAGGAATAAGGACACCAGCCAAGGCAGAAACCACTGAAAGGAAAAGCAACAAAACAGGAGATAAAGCAAGCATAAAGGAATGTGATCAAGGAAACAGGCCCCAGATGAAAAGGAGCTGCCTGGAAAGTCAAAGTAAATACATGAATAAATAAACACAACATAAATTATATCCATATGCACTTCCTATATAGACCCTGAATCTGCTGCTTCATTCAAACACCCACATTTGTCATACTGCCCTGGGGTCACAAAGGGATATTTGGGAGAAGGCAGTTTGTAATTCCTGAGTTTCACCGAAAAATTACATTTATTTTAAGACCTCGCCACAGTATCTGGTTTATTCACTAGGTACAGATATGCATTTATTTGTGAGATTTATAAAATTGTCTTTGCTGCAAAATGTCTCTGGGGACAGGGAAGGCCGACCAACCTTCAATGCAATCCTGTTAGCACATCTCACCCCCACAGCTCTCTAATTTCAGCTCCCCCACCCCATTTCACACTTTTCCTTTTGTTCCCAGATGTTTTCACACCGTAATAAATCACTTCAGGAACAGAACAGTTTACTTTAAACAAAAAAAAAAAAAAGAGGAAGGAGGAAAAGAAAGATACAGAAACTAGCACCATATCCTAGTTCTGCCACTGCCACCCAGTCAATGTGCATTACTATTACTGGGAATGTCTGGCAAGGCTTACAGCTGGATCTAAATCAAGTTCCCCATCTGTTGGGTTTGCTTCTTTTTCTCAACGTTAATTTTTCAATTGTTTGCAAGACAATTTAGTAATAGTTGAGGAAAAGAGAGACTCATTGGCACAAAGGGAGCATGGAATGTAAGAAAAAGTCAGGTGGATATTTCCTTACACTGAAATCACTCTGCAGGCACCCCCCTTCCACCCCCGCCCAACTGTTCACTCCTGTGAATGAATGATTTGCTCAAGATTCTGATTACCTCTGTGTGTGACACAAGGTTAACCAATACACAGGGCAGTTTGCAATTGCCCTGCTGTTTTACAAAGGAGCAAAACCGGCTTAGCCCCGTGCAGTTACCATTGCCGCTGCTTACCACAAACAGAAATAACAACACATAAGCAAAATGTCAAAAGTCCAGATCCCCATGAGTCATTCTTTAAGTCATGGAGCACAGTAGAAAGAAATTTCAGAGAAAAGCTTTCAGACGCTCTATTCACAGAAACCACTTTGGCAACAGAAATGCCTGGAAAGACCATCTCCTGGTAAGAAAATTCACAGAAACGGCAGCACTTTGTGTTATTTCAATCTGACAACATAAAGATCTCATGTGATCTCACTTTTCTTGATATCAAGTATGACAATTTCTTCCACTCCTACAGACACCAGGGCTAAAAATAGTAGCGGTGTTCAACACACTCCACCTAAAAGGGTACTGTATGCTGACGACGATCCAGGGAATTCTGAAAGAGAGAAATTCTCATTCCTTACCTGATGTTAACCAGTGCGTGGGTCACTTTGCTAGCTGCTTCTTTCCATTGGCCTGCGTTGGTGGAAAGCCTCAGGACTGTAAGGAAGGAAAGAACACCGATCTGTCAGGACCCCTGGTATAAAATCTAAATACAAAGAATGAAGACACGCCCCAGAACGGGGCCTATGTCAGTATTCTCAGAGGTCACGGCTCCTGAGACATCCCAGTTAACTGGCCTCAGTTCATGTTCAGTGCTTCTGTTGCACCTCCTGGCGTCTTAAAAGCTTGCAAGAGACCATCAAGGGATACTAACCAGTCTTTCTTCACCTGGAGCAACAGAGGTAGGAGCGGCAGGAGTAGGAAGAGGCTAATTGTCTCCAGGGCCTCCACGCCTCCTTTGCCAAGAGACCAGAAACACTGAGGTGCCCGGCTACCACCACGGAACATTTTCGTCAAAGATCCCATAGAAGTCTTGATACGAAAAGAGAGACTCCAGGACAGAATTTCAAGTTCTCCCGGCCTCCCTCTAGACTTCCATGGAGGGTGGACACAGGTCTGAAATGAATGCTGAGAAAATCTTCAAGCTTTAAACCAAAAATATCTCCTGAAGTCTTCTTGAACCTGAACAATAATTTAGCTAGTAAATTTTTAGCAAGTAAAAAGTCTGCTTGAGCAGTGTGATCTTTTAAGAATTATCTGTATGGGATCAAATAGCCAATGTGTAAGATTAGATTAAAAAGTTAGAAGGCAATGAGTTTATGTTAATGAGGGAGTAACCACTCAGAGAATGTTATAAAACCTGAAGAATTTAATCTGTCACTGAATTGTACACGTAAAAACTGTTCATTGATGTGTCTTACTGTTATTCTCAACAAAATAAGTTTAAAGGAAATTTTCTCAGTCTAGAGAAAATGTAAAGGTTTATAGGATCCTCTCAAAGATTTTTTTACTAGAAGTCATTTCCTCTAACTTCTTTTTACTTTCTACCAAACTACTCCAACTCCTTCTCCTCCTTCCCTTCCCTCCTAATCCATAAGTTTTTTTCACCGATTTAAAATATACTCGGATGTGGGACTGTGGCTGCTAACGTGTCCATTTCCCTTAAAGCAGGGGCCAATTTAATGGAACTGGCTGGCTAAGTTGGTGGCCCTCCAGCTCCATGTATATCTTTCCATTAAAAATGCAATTTCAGTCAAGTAGAACAAACTACCTCTCCAGAGGATGATCATATTTCAATCAAGGGATAACGTCTGTTTCCGTTTCCTCTGACTTAACTGTGGGACCTGAGATGCAGATCAATATGATTCTTCGCTTCTCTAACAAAGTTCTATCTTTTCCAAGCTCAACTATAGGAGGAGGATGACATAAATCCAGAACTGGACCTATCTTCTATCAGCCTAAAGCCTCTGGGCGATACACCCAAATGTCTTACCATTTCAGAAAAGAGACAAAACAGCAAAAGTGCTCCTTGAAAAAGCAAGCACATAGTAGGCATACCAAATATATTTTCTTAATGAATAAATAGCTCATAGCAGCTGAAGACTAAGAGAGTTTACTACTATGTGGCCAGTACTAGACAAAGACAAATTGTGTCAGTCTGGGTTGACTAGAGGAACAAATCCAGAGACACTCATATGTGTGTGTAAGAGTGAACTTTATATCGAGAAGTAATTATGCATTAATAAAACATCTCAGGCCAGTCTAAATCAAGTCCATAAGTTCAATATTAGCCTTTAAGTCCAATAGTAGCCCATGAATTCTTCTTCAAACTCACTAAACACAGGCAGTGATGCCAAATGCAGGAAGATCACAGGACAGTGGGTGCAAAGTCCTGTGGGTCCAGTGGCGGTGGAAGTATCCCGAGTTCTGGCGGCCATCAGCATGGCTCTATGTGGTTTGTCCACAGGAAGGTGAAGCAGAGAGAGAGTGGATCCCACCTCCAAGAAGAGAGGAAATCCCAGAATTTTCATGAGAAGACCATGCCCACAGGGATGGGGGTCACCAGTCTGTTATCTGATTGACAGGCTAGACTCCACCCCTTCATTCTTATTTATCGAGTTGACATGAAATTGTGTAACTTCTGAAGCTATGTCACTGGTATTTCACATACCAGTAGGGTCACCCAAAGTGAGCTGGTCTTAACAGAGCTTACAAATTAAGAATGGACTATGAAGAAGGAATAGGCTGTCCCTCTCAGAGGAATTAGCCACTGAAAGCATTATGAATAACAACGGAACACTGTCAAAGTGGGACTGGACTCCCTCCCTAATAAGACTAAGAAATGTTTGACTGATTCGCATAGAAACTTCCTATCTGAGCATCATCTCTATCTACTCCTGATCCAGGATTCTTCCAGCAAGAAGAGCCAGAGTAGCAGCTCTGCCAGGGGAAGGCTTGTGGCTGTGATGGGAAGAGAAAAACTCATCTGGCTGTTCTGTGTGTTCTCACAATGCCTCACTTTCATAAATTCATGCGACTGCATGAAAGAGAAGAGAAGATAGAAACCTTAATAAAACACATCACCAAAGTGCTGCTTTTCTAATTCAAAAGGTTTAGTGGCGGGGAACTTGGCATAGTTCCCACCCATAGCTCTACAGTTTGAACTCAGACTTCACCGCTGTAACCGCACGTTTGTTCACGGAATGGACCAAACTGCGTCAGCAGAGCAGACATTTCCTGTTCAACTCAATGATTCTTCACGAGCTCTCCCTCCAGCTCCTAAGTTCTCTGGTGATAGGAATCAGAACACTGTTAACACTTAGCTGCATTTTCCCTGCGCACACCTTCAGAGAGGTGGTTAACATTTTCCAGGGCTGACTTCTCTGTAATGCCCTGGCAGCCCATGCTCCTTAGTGAACAGGCACCCGGACGACCTCATTACTGTATTTTCTTTGAAAATGCTATTACACTTTTCTAAGTGACCAAAATCAAATACACAATTATTTCCAAATATCCTAAAGGCCTCAAGGAAAGTAACCATTTACCTAGCAAATTACGGCACACAAAAATAACATAGTATATAGCCATTGAAAAAGAGACTTACAAAAATTATAGAGGAAAAAATGAGAAAATCTTTTATGATAAGTTAAAAACACAAAATGGAAGATTACCATTATGCAAAAGTATATACGGCTAATATACTATTAAAACAGATATTAAGAGAATGGGCAGATTATGAGATTTTTATGTATTTTTCCAATGCTTTCTATTGGTCATTATATTTTAAACCAAAAGGTCACTCAAAATACGATGTCATTTATGGCTCGGGAACTTTTGGGTCAAGACCTTCCTACTTTACTACATAAATTAACTTTACTACATAAATTAATGCCATGGGAAAGTACATATGGATTGATAAGACTTGTTTTTTTTAATTTATTTTTTTAAACATTTTATTAGGGGCTCATACAACTGTTATTGCAATCCATACACACATCAATTGTGTAAAGCGCACTTGTACATCATTCTCAAAACATTTTCTCTCTACTTAAACCCCCGATATTAGGTCCTCATTTTTCCCCTCCCTCCCCGCTCCCCCCTCCCTCATGAGCCCTTGATAG